GGGCGGGGGGAGGGTTGCTGGCTTCCATACTGCTTAGAAGTTAGTACATTTAGTCACTTACACGTCAAACATAGCCAGTATGGTCGCAGAAAAAAAAAGGCGCAGCACAAGTTAACCGTGAGTTGGACACTAGCTGCGCGGAATTGCTTACCGTTTCAGCTCAGAGGCTTTTTTTGTGCCGCTATTGCCTTCTAGCACTCACACTTCTAACGTAATGAGCCAGTCAGCCGTTATCGGCAGTGAGCCGCGACGCTGAAGGCTTCGGACCTTTCAAAGCTGTTTTAGTTTGATAACTGCTGTTTAACGCCGCTGGTAAAAGTGATAAACAGCAGCTATCAACTAAAACAGTTTTAAAGCATCAAAAGCCTTTAGCCACGCGGTTCACTACCGATATCGGCTGACTGGCTCATCACGTTAGACATGTGAGTGCTGGAAGGCAATGGCGCAAAAAAAGCCATTGAGTTGAGAGGCCGCACTAACGTAATGTTCAATGAAACTGCCCGGTAAGTGGAAGATGCGGTTTCGAGTCACATCCCGGGAAATGACTTCTGCCCATATCTCAGCATTCTTCTGATAACTTTCGGAGCGCGCACTGTGGCGTTAAAGGCACTTCCCGCGACCACACTTCATAGGTAATACAGTTCAAAAATAGATTGCCCTGTGGTTGTTGACTCACTGAAGAGAAAGAACCACGAAAAAGCGCCCGCAATAAGACCCTCTTTATTTCAATTGATCATGATCACCGGAGCGTAAGGTGGTCAAGATCGATTGTGGATGGCAAAAGGCGGCGAGACACTGATAAGAGACGAGAGAGGCCAGAAAACGACGAGCGAGAGAGCACAATGGCAATGTCACAACGACACGATCACCGGAGGCTGGCATGGGCCTATCGGGCGCCAATGGGCCTAAAAGCTGAGCGCGCCGCGTTTTGCTTGCTGTTTTTCAACTTTTGTAAGCAGCATAGCCTCTGACGTTGCCTGCTTGACCGTCGGGCACGGTTATGAGAACCTAGCCCTAGTTTATCGCGGAACGTGCCTTTAAGCAGTAAGTCGTTGAACTAAAACAGCTTTGCAAACGGCTGTCCATAATGTTCAGTCTGCACACGAAAAGCGATGGATAAAATGAGGCGTCCGACCACAGAGCCTGGAGCGCTGTGGGGCTTGCCTGCAGAGCCGACACTCCTGCTGCCGAATAAGGAAAAACTGAAGGTGATCAATGCGTCGTTCAGTTGTTTCATTTGTTTCTGAAGGCGCAATAACCATAGCAATCAGACCGATCACCGCCAATTACATGCTACTGTCCTAATGCGCTATATTCGGCAGTACGTCAACAGAGAAATAGACCTGCATTAAGTCGGTCGTGTTTATCTGACCTGCAGCGGTGCGACTTCAACAGCTCTGTTATCTGGGCTTTCGTCAGTGCACTTCAGGACGCGACTTCTCGATCACACGTAACTGAATCAACAGCATCTCATCCGTACTTGCTGGAAGAAAAAAAGCTGCGTGTGCACATGCTCCCCGCTACCTGGGAGCAGGCCATCGATAAGGACGTGAACTAACTTAACTAACTTACTTAACATCAAAAATGTTACTTCATGATGTTTAGGCTCTGATTTTTTTGAAACCTTCCACGCTTACCAATGGTATGACGTTATACTAACTGCATAAGGACAGCATAATGAATCTCTTACTATACCGACTAAAAACGGTTATTTTTGCTTTTGCGCTCTTTGGGTCAAATTGTTCTCCCATCAGAGATTCTAGCATCTTCTTTCAATGAGGGCAAGGCTTTCGCTGTGCAGAATTAATAATCGTTTATAAACCAAGAGCCAGTACACACTCTATACCTCTGACTTAGTCGCAACAAACTTTCAAATAACTGATTCACGTTGACATAAAAGATGACATACAAGTCAAGAACCCAGTCATGGTCCCCAATCGAAATGAACTGCTTGAGGTTAATATTCTATATTCCGGAATTTCTCCAACAATTTTTATGTTTAACCGCCTCTCGCGGTGAAAACTGTAGGAAAGCTTGGGGAGAACTGCGATTGATGCCTCCGACCGACCTCAATTACCTCACAAAAAAGCAACCCTGCAACTGGCACAGCGCCAATCTCTCGTCAAACCATGTCGTTCCAACTAAGGTAAGGACTAAGGAAAATTTGGCGCACCCGGAAGAAGGCCAGATGCATATCGCTCAGAAGACCAGCGATCCTGCGATTCAGTCGAACGGTATCGGCCGAATCTGGGTGAATGCGGCTCCATTCGCTAATACGTCGATTTTCTTTTTAAGCCATGGGGGTGAGGGAGTGAGGGAAATTATTGTCCCCTTCACTACCCCAGACCCTTCTAGAAAGCCTAGGCGCCTAGAAAGAAAATTTCAGGAGTGGAAGCAAGCATCTTGTTCAAAATATGCAGAGAATGCTCTCCACTATAGTCGAACCAGTCTTCAATTTTATGTGGTTCTTACAGACAGCCTTATCGAGAATAAGCGAGCCACACCACTTGTTGATATATTCCTTCTGATTCCTTGGGCCGATAAGCTGTGATGTACTTCAGCACTTCTGAGTCGCCGCGAAGGCGGTGCACGAGAAGTTGCAAATGATGTGGGTATTCATGGGGAATTAGGACCATATTCAATTGATTGAACGAGACATTGTTGCAGTTCGTCAAGACATAACACACCGATAGACTGGAATATAAAGCCCGTTCGCGTGCTATTCTGTGGCTTGTATGTCCTCTAAGGCATAAAACTCCATTTTGAATCTCTGATGTACATAGGAACATTAGAATAATCACTTACTTGTCTTGTTTCACCAACAAGTCGGTCGATAATACGAATGTCCTCGATGTGAGAATTCTTTATAAATTGTTGCTTAAGGACAGAACGGAAAACACCTAGCGGCATGTCCTGCATTCCATAGTCCCACCAGAAAGTTGGAGTTAAGCGTTGCCTGAAAAAACAGCTGTAGAAAAACTGCTAAATAAACGTTACTATGTATACGACAAGACCAAGGTGACTTTCAGAACACCGACTTACTCTCTAGTTCGCTGCGGACGGTTGGGCGTGTCAGCCAAGTATGAGTGTGTCACCCCATCAAAGCCGTTGTCTGCTTTACTGTTGAAACGACAAATAGTAGAAAAAGAGTAATGCGAAGGATATGATACAGTATTGTCACTTGCCCGCTTCAACAACGTGGAGAACGAGTTTGGACCGCGCAAAAACGCAGCCGGCAAAAACTTGACACGTCACGTCCGCAGCGAACTACACGATAACTCTTCTCAAAATCTACTCTTTGAAAGCATGTACCGTAGGTTAAAGGTAGAAATCAGCACTTGGGTGATGTCTTCAAACGCTTCGGATTCGAAATCTATAATTTCAGCAAGGGTCATAATGTCTGTAAGAAGCCTGGTACAACAAGTTGTTGCTCCTTTTCGTTCAATTGTTGAGGGGAATTAGACATTCGAGAGATTGAAGCCCGCAAAGGCATATTCCCCAACAACCATGTTTTTTTTTTCATCTCATATTTTGTCAGCTTGTTACAGGTAGGCAAGTGTGATACTAAGCACTCAAGGAGAATCCGCGTCCGGTTCTACTTTTCCTGACAAAAAGCTCTTCCAAATTTGAAATGGCTGAAGGTTGTGCCCATACAAGGATGATTTCTAAATGTTCTGAAGAAGCGATACCAGCCAGCTTCTGATGGGATATTTCTATATCTATAGCGCATCTGTAGGGCGCCCTACGTTAAAAGGTCAAGAAGCCGCCTCAAAATTTGGATCACTCCGCTCCCTAGAAACTCATTCTCCTCGCACTTCAGCAAAGAACTTTTCTTTATGACTCATATCTTTCGTTGTGCCTCTAAAAAGATATGGCGCGCAAAATAGGGAAACTGAGTTAACTGGTGACTATCGTCCTTTTTACATGGAGTATCCAGGATTTATGGAAAAGCAATCTCTTTAGGCTGGCGTTTATTACGCTTACGATTACGTCGCCATGCATCGACGGTAATGCTGCACTTATTTTGAGACTGAGGAGATTCGGCGAACATAGAGACTGTATGACGAGCTATGGGTGGTATCGATCTAGCTATTGAGAAGGCCGAGCGACTCCGCGATTCAGGAGACTGTGTTTTGCGATCGCGCGCTAAAGAATGGATGAGTAATCGATCGACGCCAGTCGCGAGAAATTACGGTGATCTGGCAATTTTCCAAAACAGCACATCACCGAGTCGCTCAAATAGCCAAATCGACCAATTTCCCCGATGGCCAAAGCGATACGTACACGTTCCTCGCCGTGCAATCTCTTAACGCCGAGTCTCCCAAATCGCAGTCTTCGCACATTAGTCACAAAGCTGCCTCGACGTAATCAACGTTTTCGACCCACTTAGAAGATTATGCATGTAGGATGAGGGCAAGGGGGCGTGTATGTCTCTTCTTTTCTTCATTCGGTAAGCAACAAGGCCTAGTGCATTTCGTCCGTTTATCAGTTGATCTCCCCCTAGTTGTTTCCACATATCTCCTTCAAAACTGCCTAGAGATAGGGTATTGGAAGGCGGGGCCGAAGCGCACCGGCGTACCCTAGCGCAATCATCCGCAGCAGCTGTGCCCCGATTCGACGTCGAAAACGTCGGTGACGTTTACGGTGACGTAATCGTAGGGTATAAACGCAGCCCTTGCGGACTAGCGCCCCAAAATGCATCCTGAACAATAAACCATCTACTAAATTTGTAGAACTTACAGATCTTTGTACACCTGAAGCACAGCACGCCGAGCTTGATCTTTGCTAACTGACTGCACTGGTGCCACTTGACGTACAGCACTTGTACCACTTCTGATCACTTTTCCAGCGGTTGACATTTTACGTCAATGTGTCTCCCCTGGTGATCTAGACACGGATGATGTGCAGATTAAGTGCAAAACAGGAACACTTACATAAGCAATAATGAAGATAAGAAAGATTAACGACCGTTACGAAATCATCAAGAAACAAACATTGCAGTGGTTTACTTTCCATAATGAATGCTAGTTCATGAGAGAATGTAAAGAAGTTGTTTACAAAACTTGGTAGTTAAAGCCCGTCTAACGGAAGCAGACAACGCCGAAAATAACCAACCCTCGCTTCAAGGAATTCAACTTTCTTCTCGAGAAGATTGAGTTTATCACTCAGCGAAGCAAGCTTGCTTTCTACAGGCAGGCTTGAATATAAAACGTTTACTTACTAGCGAACAATGGATGATTTCAGCACTACTTAACTATTACTACTCCCATCTTCGAAAATCAGGCCAGTTTTCACGGACTTTTTTCTACAAAGTGTTGGTTGGAAACTCGTTTTTAGGGGTAGTTCGACATCGTGAACACGAATGCCGCATCCACCTTGTCTGAAAATGTCAGGCGCCCGCGCCACAGACGCTGTCCCCAAAAACCCTAACCACAAAATTTGCTGAAAACTTGACTCGAACATGGTTCTAACTCCTAACACAAGTGTCACATCCGTTGGCTTGAAACTGCCTGTGCCTGCGCCACAGGCGCCGGCAACACCCTGGATCACCGGAGTCGATGAAAACTTGAATATGGGGGTGACGTAACATGCTGATTAGGCCGCGTTCATACATGATGCAGAGAACATGCCCGGCCGAACCACGGAATGTGCAGATCTGCGGAATTTGCAGACATGCGGACGGGAGAATCGCGGAATTTGTAGAAGAAGAAAATGTGCCTATCGTTTAAAAAACCGCGGAATATGCAGAAATGCAGGAGTCCGGATGTGCAGAAATGCCGAAATGCAGAAATTCCGCTGGCGAGGCTAAGCGATCAATCCCTATCAGGTCATTGTCCGTCATTTCGGAATTTCTGCAAATTCCGCGGAATTGGGAGAAATGCAGATACGTGGAATTTGCAGATTCTGCATTTCTTCCAATTCCGCTCGACGGCTGGAACAAAGCGATCGATCCCTATTACTTCTTTGTCCGTCATTTGGGCATTTCTGCAATCCGAATTTGCAGAAATGCGGTTTTCAGGTCGATGCGTATACATTTCTGTCTGCAATTTCGTCATTTCTGCAACGTCGTCATGTACGAACGCGGCCTTACGAACATAACATCCATCCTTGGCGTCGGCACTGATGGAGGACACTACGGTCATCTAACGCTCTGCTAAGGCTGAGCCTGGCCTAAAGGGAATCTCTCCCACACGGCTCAGCTTTAGCAGAGCGCTAAATAGGGCTGCTATGCAAAAAAGAATGCGATATTCTTAATCAGTGCATCAAACAACCCTATTAAGCTTTTGATCGGTTTCGGTGGAAAATGGTGTAGCGCCAAATGATGTTAGGGCTAAAATGGATGTCACAGTTGTGATCAGGACACCGTACAGCTCCAACATGCAAGTTTATACCAATTTTAGTGGGAAAAGTTGTGGCGCCAAATGGCACCAGCGTCGAAAACGTGTCATACGCCTGACCAGCACACCCATCACCCGTATAGGCAAAGTTTCAGCAGAATTTTTTCGTTTCTTGGATTAGTAATGTTTAGAATAGTGCCAATATCTTCCTAAAAGCATCACAACAACTTGAAAAACAGACCAAAACTGGACAGGAAGTTGGCGATTGTTTTTGACGCTTGTCCGAATGATCTGCAAAGAGTGAATGCCATTCTTCAAAACACAGAAAGTTTAATTCATACCTGTTCGTACTCCCTATTATCCCAATCTTCCCGCAGCTGTCGCTGAACACTCATACGAGGGTCCTCCCGCTTGAAAAGTGTTCAGAACAGCCCCGCAAAATGTACCGCACGCACGTAATCGTTTCGGGACGCCTGGAATTCAATCGAATTACTTGCCGACGGCCCTTTAAATGCTCTTCAGTATGAGGTATGCAAGTATGACAAATTACTTTTTATGTGTTTACTGTTAAGTTCAAATGGGTGCTCTCGTTGAACCATCAGGTCCGTTGGTTTGGGTAAAGCGCAGATGCTGCCCAGGGGTATCCTTGAGGTGAGAGTGACCTGTTAGCGTTATTAGTGAGCTCGAGTGGCTTCAAAACATGCGATATGTCTGTATTGATTGTCGCACAATGTCGGCCAATTATTGAATTTATTGGAAGCTTTCGTGCTATCTAACCAGAGTTGAGCTAATCAAAATGTGCTAAAACCATGGGTTAAGTGCTACGCTAGTGATTTTCAGTTTTATCTACAATCAATATTGCTGTTCTTCAATTTTTCATTTTTCATCTAGTTCGAATCGCATGTTCTTTTGCAGGAAAGACCTCAGGAAGTCTGAGGAAGTCTTCGATGTATGCGATTTCAATGTTGACTTTTTCTCAGGGAACTGATTTGTTGTTGTTTTCTTGTCAGACCTGTATCTCATTTTATTTCCATGTGTCATCGCCATTCCTTGTTGCTGACTAACCAGTTTCATAATCATACAAGAATTCTACTGTAATCCCGTCGGAGAACCTTTTTGCTTTCTCTACGTAACATGCATATCTTTCTCGACATCCATCACTCCTCAACTTGAAAATCATAATTTATGTTCATTAGTGAAGTTAGTCGGGAGTTTGCCGACGGTGAAATCGTGCTTTGGCACCTTCAAGAACTAATATTTCGTTGGGGCTTGGTCATCTTTGACCGTCCTTGATCCAGTCCAGAAATGATTTGCCATGATAAATCGGGTGCTGGAATGGTTCGCGGAGTTTGTGTTTTGGAAGGAAGAAATGGAGTTGACGTTGGTGGGATTGCAAAATTCCGGGAAAACAACGTTCGTCAATGTCATTGCGGTTGGTGCATTCTTCCTTTGATCGTCGTAATATTTTTTCAACGCAAGCAAATTACATGTCATATCAGTTGCCAAATAAACTTGAGGTTCCCGGCGTGTGGCAAGAAAATCGTGACATGTCGCGCTGGTGGGGTGGGAAGAAGTGACGTCGCCCCGCGAAAGAACTATCTTGCCCGACCATTTGAATTCAATTTAAAGGGACAGGAAACTTTGATACTACTAGGCACGGAATCTTGCTAGTGCACGAATTCACATTGATTCCATTGTTCCAACCGATAAACTGGCGTGCATTGACGGTATGCCGCTTATCACGCATGTAACAATAGTACTTTGCCGCGCGCGATCGCGCGGCAAAGTACTATTGTTCGTCTCCGTTCTCGTGGATTAGGCCGCGTTCGTACTTTGCGAATGTTGGGCTCTATGATTGGGAATATTCGACGCCAGGATAGAGTTTGATGGATCTTGGAAAATTTTCACACCCATATAGAGATAATACGACGAGAGCGCGTAGTTTGGGTGGATGTGTGATAAAGAGTACGTGTTTTGCTAGCCACCCCCCCTGGCTGGAACAAAAAAAAAACGCGAAACGCCCTGGCAGACGCAGCTGCGCGGACGCGCTTTCATCATCCGCAGCAAACCAATCTATCCCTTTTCGCAAATTCTCCCATATTCCGATTTTCTTTTCCTTGTAACAGATACGTTTCTACTATGTTTCGCTGGTTCTGTGTACCCGAAAGGATAAGATGGGAGTCGAGTAATCCCGCCCACTAGGAGAGGGCAGGAATCCTACGAATGCATAGCTCGGTAATGGGCGGGATCAATTGGTCATCGTGTAATCCTTAGTCCGCGACTGCTGATTCTTTAGATGGCCGCATACGCTCTCCTCTACTACCGAACTTCTCGAATCCCGCTTCTTTATTCGTAGGTTCTCCACTATCAAAGATGAGCACGACCACATCGGGCTCTTGTTGGAACAGGCTCGCTGAAACCATGTCAATAATAAGGCATTCTCTTAGAAATGCTCACGCACACGTCCTGGACAGGAGCGGGGCCAGGCAAGGTTTGTGTTTGCTTTTAGAGAAAACAATGAATTCAGGCTTCCGTAAACATGGCATTTGTAATACTAAATTCTAAACCTTACGTAGTATATTTTTTAGTGACACTATTGTACTCATTCCTAGAGAAATCAAACTGAATTTTTCGCAGAGGCAAACAAAGTGAAAAATGAAAATGAAAATTTTAGCAAATTGCTTTGTTCTGCTTAGATGGTGCACACAATTGTTAGGGGCTGCCAGTTGTTGCCGGCGTAATTGATGGGAGGAGTGCGAGAGGGCATTTGGCCACACCTTAATCAGCCTTTCCAACAGTGAAGTTGGCGACAATCGCCCGCTACCAGCAGTCATGCTCACTGCCTGCAAAGTGACATGGTGGCGCGTCACACGAAAGAGTCATGATGCACTTCGAAGACACTAGGCGTCATATCACATGAAACACTTTTGTGTTTCAGCTAAATAGGTCTCATGATGTCAGTGAAATTGAATAGAAGATATTTTGCAATAAAAAGCAGCGTACGCTTCCTGAAAAATTTGAATCTTGTTGCGAGGAAGACTGGGCAAACTGTATCAGTAGACCAGAAATCTGTTCCAATTGCAAGCGAGCTATCCCGTAGCAAGGAGTTCATAAATTGTTCAGATTTATCGCATTACTACCATATATTTTGCATAAAGCACTACCAGTTTTTAAGCAGCTAGAAAGGCATTGATTCAATTCCATGTTTAGAGTGGGCAATTCACGGAAGACATGATTCCCACCGTTGGATTCAATATGAGGAAAATAACTAAAGGAAATGTTACGATAAAGGTATGTTCCTTTCCAAAAACTCTTACTACAACTTACTGATGAGGGTATGCATCCTTAGGTATTGCTCACACTCTGCACGACGGCGGGATGGACAATGGTTGGGCGAAAAGCAAAAATAGTCATTGATCGGAGAATCGCCAACCGCTCGTTTCGCCGAACCGCCGCGGTTCGGCGGTTGGGCGAAAAGCAATAGATGCGTATCGATTTTGCTGGCGAAATACGCCAGGGCGGTTGAGCTGGCTTTTCGCGAAGGCGAGAAATGCCCGTCTATACGTATTAAAACTGTTTTCGCCCAACCATCAATCGATACGTATTCGAAAGCTTTTGGCGCCGCGAACCGCTCTTTCCAGAGAAACACTAGACCGCAGATTTTGAACAAGTTTCTCATTGCGCCGAGCGTAGTAAAAGAGGCGCAGCGTTCGCATCGGGACCAAATGATTCGCCGTGGCATTGCTGTATTGTTGCAAGTCAACTGGTGAGGGATGCTGCTGGTTGCACATGTCACCGCAAGATCAAGCTACCAATATTGATCCAATTGTTCTGTGTGCGCATAATCATGGCATTCGAACATATCATACTGCGAAAATCTCTTGTCTATTTGTAAAAGAAGGGAACTTTATCTCTGCGCTGTTGTTCGGTGCTGTTCTTTTAGACGTTTTTCTAGAAAACGATCCCCTTTTCTAGCAGTTGACATTGTGCCTAAGTTTCTGGAAATGTCTACTCCCAGTCGGGTCTAACTTGGAGACGCAGTACTCAAGGATGATGGAGTGCTTGCTAAGCCTATTCATACTTTGCGACAAGACAAGAAAAGAGCCGTGGATTTGACGTTTTGCGAGAATGAGCGCCGGAGGAGTGCATGGGTACTACTGAGGGGCTCCGGTTTCTAATTATTTGGGAGAATGATAGCATGAGATCGACTCTTTGGAAGGACGCGTTTTCTCCCGAAACGTCGAATTGTCCATTCTTTTCTCCCATATCGTCGAATCGATGCCTATAGCGTGCACTGGAGTACAATCCAGTAGAACGTCAAGTCGCCGTTCTCCTATTCTCATATTCCGCTGTCGCCAAGTGTGAAGGCAACCTCTCGTTGTTCGGGATTCTGAGCGCGAAACTCTCAGGCGCGCTCATGCTGGAGTTTCCATTACACGACTACTGATAGCAGTGTTCATTGCACCTCATTTTCATCTTTTCTAGAATCCATCCATGTGAAAGTGTGTATGGGAAAATCAAAGAAGAAGAGTGCTTTCAGCTATGGGATATCGGTGGTCAACCTCGATTCCGATCGATGTGGGAGCGGTACTGTCGTGGAGTAAACGCAATTGTGTTTATGGTTGACGCTGCGGACGAGGACAAGTTGGAGGTAACTTATTTTTTTGATTTTAATTTTGTTCTCTTGCGTTGTGCTGTTGATTATTGCTTCCCGAGTCTTTGATTAGTGTTATGACTGTTTTCGAAAGAGCTCGTACTGCTACTATTTCAACCCGCAGTCACTCAACATCGAAACTCTGTAGAAAGAGGTGGAGTGGACCGCAACAAACATTTTGTACTTGTTTCGCGCCAGGGAGGTCCCAAGCAGCGTTGAGACTTCGCGATGGCGCGCTGCCATTGCAATATCGCTTTAGAGGCAGTTCGGCACGATAAATCCCCAAAGACGAGTAGGATTTATATGCCTGGCAGGGCGGATTTCCGCGACCCTGAGCAGGCCCTGCATAGCGGTTTTCCCAGAGTGGACGACCCTACCAAGTGCTCGTTTTGCTTCATTTGCTATTTAAAATATGAAGCGAAGGGATTGGTATGAAGCGGCTGCGGTGCTGAATGGATATATGAGTACATACATGCAGCCGCACCTACCGGAGCGGTTATTTGCAATACGCCTACGGGAAACTCGTCCGAAATCGCTTTTCAAGAACGAAGGCTTTTCTTCGCAGTTTTGACCGTTTCACTTCGTTTTTTCGCCATTTTTCCCACTAATAGCGCCCTGCTAGCATTTAGGCTGAGTACCAAATTATCGTGCCAACTGCCTTTAATGCTGTGGACACGAAGGAGCAATGACCGAGTATCCGTCGGTGCCGGCCGCTAATGTTTTAAGAAAGCGTACGACAATAGGAGGCTAGGTGTTGCCTAAACACAGTCTGGTATCGAGTACCAGCTGCTAGTGTTTCGAAAGTATTGAAGAGTAGGATGTGTCCTTAGACGACGCCTACGCTCTTATTATCCTGTACTTTTTGAAAACGCGACTGGCGGAAATCTATATCCTTTTACGGCGCTTTGTTCCTGCTCTGGTCTGATCTATCGCATGAAATTCCAACGAGTTTCTGGTAAGCTGAGGAGGACATCTGGATTTTCGATGTTTTTTAGTCATTTCGTGCAAAAATCAACTCGCCCCTGCCTCCCGACCCTAGCTTTGCTTATCACGTGAAGAGTGTTTGAGCTAGTTGCTTGTTCCGGTTTTTTTGTAATATGGAGCAGGATTAGTGGATAAGGTCTCTCTTCGGTAGCGAAGACTAGTTTTTCAATCAGGACCGCTCTTTGAAGTTGAGTGAGACAACGACAACTTAAAATGAAGAATTCTGGGAAAAAAAAAACACGATATACGTTTGAAAAAAAAAACAATAAAAAATCGTGAGAATCTATAGGATAAAAGAATAAATAGATAATGAGATGTGGTCCACAACAGACAGTGAGTTCTCTGTATAGTGGCTATTTTTCATCCTGGGATCTCCAATGCATAACTGCGGAGACCTCTTATGTTTGCGTATAAATAACTTCATAAGCTATTTTCGTACATTACTTTCTACGCGTATTAGTATGAGCACGTTCCGCAAATCGATGAAACCGGCCCACATAAACCTGCGAAGAATTCGCTAAGGCGTTTCCATTGCAACTTATGCTTCCCATGTTGGTAGAACTTGTTGAATTTTAGGAAGGAAGTTGAGTTACAAAGCCGTCAAGTCTGGTATTACCGTTCAAATGACAAAAAATGCAAGATTTCTACAGCAATAATAATAAAGAAAAACATTTGCATGATAGCTTCATTTATCAGTCATTTAGGCGTCACGCAACGAGCTGATGCAACTGCTTGATAAAGCACAGTTAGATGCGATCCCTGTCCTTGTGCTAGGGAACAAAAAAGATTTGCCCGGTGCTCTTGACGAGCGACAACTTATTGAGCGCATGTGAGTTGAAGGGTTAGATTCTATACTAAATGACCGTTTAACATTTACAACTTCGATATTATAATACTACGAATCTTTTACAAGAAGGGGAGCAAAAATTCTTTGTTCATGGCGTACAGCGCCAAATTTACATCGCATATGATGGCAATGCAGGGTACAGCATCGTTGTGTGAAACACATGGGAGGGTCGTACTTCTCCGCTGGGGAGGGGGGGGTCGTATTTGGTCGTTGTTGGGGGGGGGTCCGAGAGGAATTTGCCGCGTTGGGAAGAAATTTTTCCCGGTTGTTGACTTTTCATGTGGTTTTTCCTGTTTTATGTGTACTATATACCTCCCCTCTCGCTCAGCGGAACGGAAAATCTCTGGGTGAAAAGCTGGAAAATGTGAGAAACTGGTAGATGTGTGTTGGGGAACGAGGGGGATCGTGCTAAGACCTTCATTCAGGTGGGGGCGGGGTCGTACTGACGTCACCATTTCACATATCACGATGCTGTACCCTGTGGAAATGTGTATGGAAAACCAGTAGAAAAGTTTCTAGAAACGTTTCTCGGTCCTAAGTCTATAAGCATAAGCAAGCCCTCCACCAACAGAGCTTCCGCTCTGGTCCCCTTCCAAATTTGTGGTCATATTGGAAAACAATTAAGCTTCCTTTTGCAGGAATCTGTCTGCCATCCAGAATCGCGAAATCTGCTGCTATTCAATTTCTTGTAAAGAAAAGGAGAACATAGGTTTGTGAAAATCAAGTTCTTACAATTTTTTTATTGAGTTCTTGTAGAAGGCGAGCAATGTGGGAGACAAGATACAGCTTCGACTAAGTGAGTATGGGTATCGATCTAGCTCTTGCCTACATATGCCTGCGTACGCCAGCGTCCAACAGTAATGGACCGTATGGGGAAGTAGGAGGGTATCAGGCTACTGGATTGGGCGTCGTGAAATCGCGGCGTGTGCCGCTGCAGGACGCAGGAACTCTCAACTGATATCTATACTTTCCTATTCTCTTGAAACACTGCTATATGGCGGATGCTAGATCGATACCTATTAGGTCATCCTATTCAAAAAGGCCGAGACATATAGAGGAATGGCAGAAAAGCAAAGGGGATAGGGCAGCGGGCTACTATACCATTTGGAGGCTAGTACCTTTAGCTGTGTATCTGTGAAATTTGGCGAACCTACCAGAAGAAGTTCTCGAGAAATTGAAAAGAAGCCCGAGTGGTGAAAATCAGCGCCGGATTTTCAAATCAGGCGTCATAAAAGGAAAGTGCGCTGCTCAAATTTGACCTGCGCCGGACCAGTAGTTGTGTGTAATGGTGTTCTCGAAATACAAGGTGGAAGGTTTGGTTCAGGAGCCCGAAGAAGGAAGAAAGGAAAAAATTTGTTGTCGTGGATGGTCCCATAATGTTCATCCTGCACAAGAAAAAAGGGTGGATGAAGTCAAGCGCTGAATGTCTGATCCCAGAGCCTGGACCTTTGTCGAGCTTCCCCGCGAGTCTGACATCCCTGCTGCAACTGCTGCCCGAGTTATGTCCGATAAAGTGAGGATGGTGAAGGGTACCCAATTTTCTTACAGAAACACGAACGCAGTACCGATTCTATACCTCTAGCAGTAATGTTCTCAGCATGAATGTCATTCACGACTGTGAAAACGCACCCCGGCCCTAGATGAAATATGGGTGGTCTTGGACCTCGAGCCAAAACTCACAATCGTCAATTTTGTATGAATGCAGATGAGAAGCCGCCCGAGTTCTACCATGAGGAGTTACGTGGGCGCAAGTGGATGATCATCATAGCGAAGGATTCCCACACTGTGGCTTTCAGGCGGCTCTATACAGAGAATAAAATCGTCGCTGTCGGTGTATATTGCCTGATCCTCGGCAATCAGATCGACAAATGGATGATACCACACAACTATTAGGTTGGGCGGGCAAAGTTCCTGTCGTATATGTTTTGAACCCAAAATATTTGCTACTTCTAAAGCGTTAACCGCGATTAATATGAGCACTTATACATCAAAGAATGGTCTTTCTATTGGTATCACTGGCTTGACTCCTGCCTCTCCTTATCGTGCAATATGAACAAGAATGTTATCCGCTACCTTTGGCACCGACCCCTCCAAGTGCTTCCTCAAACTCTTTCTTCTACCGCCCTGGCGCCAGCATGACAGCTGTCGACGCCGAAATAACGGAGCTGCACATGGACAATGTCTACAGTCATCTGACAATCTTCCACGACGCTGGCTCTTCAGGAGCGCGAGAGCTACGTGGCGAATGTGCGAACATGATGTTTGGGAGTACCTGTGATCTCAGCTTGAGATAGCTGTGGGCCGGGAAACTACTGTATAAAGAAGCTGTCTCCTCGGTTAATCCGTACGCAAGGCAGCTACGAGATCTGAAGCGAATCGTCAAGCAGAGGGCAAAATCCATCGGCACAGTCCGTCTTCAACGTGCTGGTGCAGCACACCCCGTCAAAAAAAGTTCGAGCCGTACTTCATGCAAAAGAGCTGGATGGCTCTCCCTCTGCACTGGTGTACCCCAGACATTGCTCTTTCTGACTGCTAGTCGCCTCCCGTATTTAACCGTTATACAGCCGAGAAAACCTCCACGACTTGAGCCCAAGTCAAAGTTGAGATGATGTCCAACATTGCGTCGTGCCAGCCTCCATTGTGAAGCGATGGCATCCACGAAGTGCTCGAAAACTGGCAGGGATTCCGCAATGACATTGCTGTATAATTTTGATCTTGTACGCCTCTCTATAAAAAGAAAGCCTTGTTTGAAAAAATGTGACAGAACTTTCCCGCCAACCTAATACAAGGGAAGGTACCAGCTGTGCTCGTCTAGTGACAGACCCGAGTAATGCTTATAGCGCAGTTGGTAGGACACAACATGACCTGATGTTCGACGCCATTCCTCCACCATTAAAGCTTTCGACTCTAACGGCTTCTGGTCAACGAGGTACCTTCCGCGGCAATCACGCGACAATTTTTGCTCATTCAACCAGAAAATTCGGCGCAACACAATTTACACGCACTGGCTAAAAAACCGAAAGGTCAGAGCGTCCAAACGCTTTCGGGGCCAGAAGAGGGGTCACTTGACTACTCAACTCGCACCCAAATATTCTTCTTCTCATCTGTTTTCTCTTCCTTTTATGGTGAATTAAGATATCTGCCGGCGTTTCTTGAAGGGATGACCTATATAACTAGTCGCTGGCGCTGACGCTCTTTTATTTTTACGGCTTTGAAACGCTCAAACCGCCGCTCGTAGAATGGGTAGGTTGGCTCAGAAAATATATGAACGCGAATTTCCCGAACTCTTCCCAAACTTTTCTAACGCATTTTGTCGCCGTCGATCGAGATGGGGGGGGGCAGACACCTCATAGACAGACAAGAGAATGGTAAATTGCGGTGCAACGTATGCGGGGACACGCGGCAGTTTGTAGTACTTGTCGATTGAAACGGTGAAACTCATATGAATTCCAAGACAACTCGTCCGTCGTGGCCGCCGCTCCTCACACTCACCACCGTGGCATATTGCGATTGTCTTGCCATATACTCGACACCTACACCAGCGCTAGTTTTGTCGCGCCATCACGGGTGAAACGCGAAAAACCTACCACTGGGAAGAATATTCCCGAGGCCAGCTTCACTACCTCCCAAGCCACAAGTTTTCGCACAACGATACCCTTATGGATCTTCTTTTCATTTCTCTGTAAACACGGTACAGCATCGTGTGTAGGTACGACCCCTCTCGAGGGAGGATGTCAGTACACCCCCCATGCCCCCCCCCCCACCTAAATGAGGGTCTCGGTACGACCCCTCCCCCTCCCCAACGCCTACCTACCAATTCCCACATTTTCCAGTACTTCACCCAAAATGGGGGGAGGGGGCACATAAACCAGGGCAGGTTCCTCTCGGAGTCACATATGTCTTCCCCCCCCTTCCAACAATGTCTGCGTACGACCCCCCTCCGCAGCGAAAAGTACGATCCGGATTGTGTGTTCACACAGCGATGCTGTTGCTCGACGGTAAATAGCCAGGGATCAGTTCTCAGGCAGCAGTTTCATTGAAGATAAGTAAAACCTCTCTTTCAGATATTACTCTTCAATGGCTGATTCAGCACTCGAAGAGTCAGCGCTGATTTATCGCCATCCATCTCGCAACTGTAAATTTTGTGTAGCTTTTTCAGTTTTTTTTCGTATATCATGTCTTACGATTTGGCGCCAACTTTGTCACGTTAGCGAACGTTTCCAGTTTGTTTAGTTCTTGGTTGCTTTTCGATTTGCGACGAAACACATGAGAATGTGTTCGTTTTCCACTTCCCGTTACAGTATACGTTCGAAGGTTGTTGTTCTCTGCAGATAGGTTGCTTTTTCAATGCTGGTGATATTGGTTTTAGCGTGATAATTCACAGATCTGTGCACCCTGTGTAGCTTGCTAGACACTTTCTAATCAACCAACCACAGATGTGGTATCGATTAATTCTCGTCGACAGCAATTTTCATTCTTGTCTGTTATTTATAAATTTATTCATAATAAACATTTACAAACACGTGACAATGTGTTATGTCCAAGATATAGTTGTGATACTAACAGCAAACACAGTTGAAAGTGCTTCGAAGTCGGCTGCCGTGCCTTACTCGACAACTTCAATAAAATACATACGAGCAAAGGTACGAGACGCAATATTGGCATAGGGGGTTTCGCCTACTATTTGCTTACGGGGGCGGGGGCGACAACAGAAACATCGAGATACGCGGAAGATACGGGTAAAAACACATACTGTGGTATTTCTATAATGTGGCTATATCTATAATGGTGTTGAAAAGCATGGACTAAATCGTGAAATTAGAAATGAACACCGGAGAATATGAGAGAAAATCAGTGTCGAGAATCGACTTGTCCCGGAAGATTCTACAACGAGGGTAACAAAGCTATTGGCGCTCAGTGTGATCGATGAATATCCCAGGCTGCTCCCTAACCGGAGCAACACTCGTTCCGACCCTTAGAAGACCATGGCGCTCTCTGCATCGCAATGGTGTCCCAGGCCATAGCGATGCAAAGAGATGCGAAAACTTGAGCGTGAGGAAATGTAGGGTAAAGCGGAAGTTGCAGCCTAACATCAAAGCGTTATGGTGGTCGTGTCCCGATTGGGTTCTTTG